ACAGGGTGTCTGGAACAGAGGAAAGTTTTTTTTGGTTTTATGTTGGGGCTGTTACAAAGTTTTTTAAAAAACTATTGATTGTTGAAATTAGTTATGGGAATAGCTGTCTTACATATCTTAGAGACTTAGACATTAACGGTAAGAAAACTTCAGTCTTAAGGTAGGAACGAGTGGTAACTCTTTCATGAGAAGGATTTGGGTTCACAAGTGTGAAATTGCAGAAAGGAGCAGTAAGAAGCAAAGTAAAATAAATAAATAAAAAAAATGTTTTGCTTAAAGTGGAGTTGATAGTGTGAAAAATCGGTGCTCGTTTCTACAAGATCTTAAGCCGTGATCTTGCTCTTCATCGCTGATGAAGACTGCTTCTTGAGATATGTCAGCATGCTAACCATGATGAAAACTGTATGAATTTTCATGCTGGAACAAGAAAGTAGGCGTTTTCACACAGCTCAAAATTCAAAATCCCTCTTGTTTCTTGCATTCGGTCTTGGATCAAGTTCTAGCACYCACACAGAAGGGAAGGGGAAGCTCATAAATGCCTGAGGTAACTTTTGATCTCCTTTATAAGGGTTTTGAACAGAAAATGGGTGTTGTTTCTCTTAAGTTGCTGTGTTGCTTGAAATGTCTAAGTTAAATGAAATGTGAATGTGTGAATTGATGTGGTTCAATGTGTTTGGTCTGATTTAATTTGGATTTTTGGGTTGAAAAACCGGTTTGCACTCATGGTTCAGTTTAGTGTTTTTAGTTCAATTTCACTAAGGGGAAATAAAAGAAAAGGGATCGACACAAAAATTAGGTCATTACCTTCAAGCCCTCACCATGCCAAGAACCAAATCTTCCGCTCGTTACCGTGGTCGCCCGGAGCTCTTCGACGTCGTCATTGCTTGTAAGTCCCTCGTGTCGCCGTCGCCACCTCACGAGTCAGTCCCAGCCAAGCGCCGCTGTGCTCCAGATTCATCTCRGCCGGTTGCYAAAAGGGRACGAACCCGAGGGCAACTCAAAGCCCTTGCCGAAGAGTCGAATCGCCGTAATGCCACCGTGCCGAGTAATTCAGCTATCTCCGTTGATCTCACCTGCGCCGAAACTGTGCCAGACTCAGACGAGGAAGCCAATTCATCGTGTTCTGAACCGAAGGTTTCGACGGCTGAGAAAAGCCAATCGCCACCATCTGTAACGACGCCGCCAGAATCGTCGTCTTCTCCGTCAGAATCCAACTCGTCATCGTCTGCAGCATCTCCGGTGAAATCATCACGGTCAGATCAAGAGTCATTGTCATCTGAATATGAACCGTCACCACCCGAGCACGTGCCATCTCCTCCGGTCAGCTTATACGACTCGGATTCTGCTTCCGATTCGCCTTCCACACAGTGGAATTGGGAGTTTCCATCTGCTGAGAACCTTGATGTCTCCTTGATGCGCTTCATCAAAGGCAAGAACAAGCTTCCTTACGATCCTCTTGATCCGCGAAGCAAGTACCGGTATGAGCTGTCACGTGTTGAGGCTGCTAATCCTTCACAGTCAGAGCCATCATCACCTCCTTTATCTGAGCAGTTTCTCAATTCCGACAGTGAAGCTCGCTATGTGAAGTATCGGAAGCGAACCATTTATCCTGAGAGGTATGTTCCTCTAGTTTCTGAGACGAGTTCGTTGATGAAGATCATTTCGGATAATGGGTTAGAGGATACTGTGTTGGTTACAGAACCA